GTAGCAAGGTTGTTAACATGTGGCGACAATGCCGTTCCAAAAACTTGTGAAATAATGTTTTCGGAACAGGCTTGTAGCAAGGTTGTTAGGAAGTTGAGAATATTCCGTTCCATCAACTTGTCAAATAGACTTTTCTCTACAGACTTGTAGCGAGCTTGTTAACAAGTTGAGATAATTCCGTTCCATCAACTATAATAACTTTATTCAAACAAAAATACCAGTACTGGTAGATAAAGAATACAGCAAATGTCTATAAGCTATATAAAAATAACATAATAGAACAAGAGTAATAATATTTACAACAATGACAAAATTTAAACAAGGACAAATCAAGGAAGATCTAGTTGCAGGCAAGATCTAAAAAAATATTCATAATTTCGTATATGTACTTGGCCGTAGGATTAATAATGTTTTTGTCATTCATTGACACACAGTATAAAAATAAATTATTTGTACCCAACAAGCTGAATTTGCTGTTATAATCAACTAACTCATTTAAAAAATTTTCTCGCAGTCTTTCTAACCTTTTGTTACTACAATGTGAAAAGTAGTGATATTCGTCCCCAATCTCATTCGAGTTACAAATTGGACATAGACGTAAATCGTGTTCAATATTCGCATATCGTCCAGTTTCAATTGGTAACTTATGAGCGGATATTCTAAACCTAGTCACTGCTTGACGGTGCTTCACAATTTTAACTTGAGATAAATAGCTTTCAAATTCTATACTAGGTTTTACAAGATTGAAAACTTGCAATTTACTGAGTTGTTGAATCTGAACTTTCCACATGATATTAAATCTTTCACATAACTCGTTTTTGATACTTTTGACTACATTATTAATATCACTCTTCTTCCAAATTGTAGTATTTTTTAAAGGATTAAAGTTACACACATCTCTAACAAAAAATGATTGAATTTTGCAATCGGACAACATGATTGAATGCATACACGTGCTGCTTTACCCACAAACTGGTTTTCATACATTGGACTATTTATTCTTAACCAATACTTGATGGCTAATGTGGAAACCTGGATAATCATTGGGTATCTTCCTAGTTCAGCAATTGCTGCTAGATTGACTCCCAGAATCCGTTTACAAAACTTTATATGCAACTTTTCAATATCCGAAATCGTACTAAAAAACTTTTTCTTAAACATTTCAATATTTGTTAAACTTCCTAGTAATTGAACTCCCCATACTTCGACGCAGTACAACAATATCGGAGAAACCAGAGCCGAGAAAAGTTTTAAAAGTACTTTAACTGGGACACTATCCAAATTTGAAAAAAGTTTTTAAATATACTGTGGTATGCCCCCAATGCTTTACTATACAACAACTTTTGAGCTACTTTAAAACGACCAGAATAATGGAAAGTGATTCCTAGGTAGACATAGTCATCAACACATTCTAACAATTCTCCGCCGAGACACCACTTGGAGGTGGTATATAAGCTTCTTTGAGATTTACTACCAAAAATTAGAACCTTAGACTTTTTTAAATTGATCTCTAACTTCCACCTTTCTACATAACTTTGCAGTTTCGCAAGACTTTCCTGTAAACCTGACCGAGACTTCGATAATAAAACCAAATCATCAGCATAAAGTAAACAATTTACCTTAGTAGTACCTAGATACACCGGATCACAATTTGTAGTATTTAGTAATTCAGGTATATCATTGATAAAGACATTAAATAAAGATGGACTCGTGTTGCAACCCTGTTTTAAACCAATGTTTGACGAAAATACTGGAGTACTTCCCGAAGAAAGTTTGACCTTATAATTAACTGAAGAGTACATACTTAGTAATATACGTACAAAATTCTTACTACAACCATATTGGATAAGCTTGAAGAACAAACCCTCTCGCCATACACTATCATATGCCTTACGAAAGTCTATAAAACAAGCGAATAATGGTTTCTTATGTATTTTGTAGAAATCTATTAATGTTTTTAGCACAAGTATATGATCGGACGTTCTAAATCCGTACCTAAAACCAATTTGATTCTTATTCAAGATTTCGTGTTCTTCCAAGAAGGTATTAAGACGATAGTTAAGAATTGAGGTAAAAAATTTCCCTAAACAACTGCTGATACATATTCCCCTGTAGTTTCCAGGATCAGAACGACAACCTGATTTATAAAGAGGTACAATATACCCTTCCGACCACATGTGAGGAAAAATTCCTTGATATAAAACATGATTAAAAAGTTTAACAAAGTTAGTAGCATGAAGTTCCACAGCAATTTTAATAATTTCATTGCTTATTACGTCTCCAGCACTACTCTTTTTGTTCTTATTAAGCTTCTTTGCTAATACGCAAACTTCATTTACTGAAATCGGTGCATCTAGAGTATTATCAGATTTAGCTGCCCAAAGTCGGAAATCTCTGACAAATTGAGTCTCGTTTCCGGAATTTTCGGTAGTTACTTTTTTCTCATTTAAATTTTTAAAATAATCGTACCATACTGCGGGTGAAATCTCATCCTCTACAGGGTGTCTCAAAAAAACCCAAAATCATTGAAATAACGTATTGTTCGAATTTCAATGCCGTAACACAAAGGATTTTGACAGGGTGATTAATTTGTTTTAAAAAATTAAAATATCTTTGTAAAGTGAACGTTTGTTCGCTCATGGGAATTTAAAAATGCTTCGTAAATTGTAATATGCGTAATATGCATTCGTGGGTTTAGTACTTTATGCCTGACATAACAAGTTTACGCTGAGTATTACCATTCATTATAGCAGTTATGTCAATCTTTTATGCACTCGTGGGATTAACTTAGTGCTAGGGCATTGAATATCGAACAATACGTCAATTTCAATGATTTTGGTTTTTTTTGAGACACCCTGTATACTATTGGAATTATTTGATTAAGACTTTATCAATTTCCAAAACTCTTTTGGATTATATTCTGAATTCATTTTTACTCCCATGAGAGTTCCATGGAATTTCCATAGGATTTGTGCTTTCGAGTTGTTTGTGCTGAAACGCATTTTCTCGTAAAGTATCCAGTACTCTTTGAAATGGCGATGCCACAATTTACCCCGCAGCAGAGAGCTTTTATGGTATCAGAGTTCCTCCGTAGCAACAACATAAACTTGGTTCACCAAAGTTTCACGAACGAATATCCAGATGTACGATGCCCTTCACGTGCGAATTCGTGAAGGGCATCGTACATCTGGATATTCGTTCGTGAAACTTTGGCGAACCAAGTTTATGTTGTTGCTACAGAGGAACTCTGATACCATGCATAAAAGCTCTCTGCTGCGGGGTAAATTGTGACATCGCCATTTCAAAGTGTACGGCGTATTATACGAGAAAATGCGTTTCAGCACAAACAACTCGAAAGCACAAATTCCATGGAAATTCCATGGAACTCTCATGGGAGTAAAAATGAATTCATAATGAAGCAAGAACAGCACCAACAGAGAAAGATGTAACGTTTTCATAGGCTTTTCGGAGGATTTGTACTCGGTAAAATCCTGCCGAAATTTTATCATAAATGCAACAAATAGCGAACTTTTCATACATGAACTCAAATAAAGAATACCGTTTGTCATTTCCGTGCGCAAGCCACTTTTAGGGGAGCAAAAGTTGACCACCCCCCCGGATAGCAAAATTTACTATTTTCAAAATTTTTTATATTTTCCATAATTTAAGAACTCAAGCAATCCATATATAGCAAAAATTACATTTCATGAACAGAATTGTGGAATTGAGAGCAATTTCAAAATTGTCTTACTTTTTTTGATACACCCTGTATATATAACATTATAATATAGCATTTGTAAATTCTGAACGCTGATTGGCTAAGAGCCGTGTTGATATAACTCAATGTCAACACGAGAAATTTTCCGCCGCTTGTAAACACGGAAAATTTTCTTGTCCTTCGGGCTTTTGACATTGCTATATTATAAAAAAAATATAAAACATTTTTTCCGTATTGATATATAGTTATATCAACACTCGTGGAAGTTGGGAAAACTCGAAATTGTATGAAAACACTCCGCCCTTCGGGCGTCGTGTTTCCATACAATTTCTCGTTTTCCCAATCCACTCGTGTTGATATAACTGTATATCAACACGGAAAATGTTTTATATTTGTTAATTGTTAACGTAAATTTTAATTTTTAAATATGTAAATATTGTTGTTCCATGTAATTCAGCTTTAGCTGCAAAATGGACTTAATTAAACTAATAATAATAAAAAGAATAGTTACTAGTTTTGTTTCCTCTCGAATCTCAATGTTTCCCTCGACTTCGTCTCGGGAAACATTGAGACTCTCGGGAAAACAAAACAAACTATTTCTCTCGGGACCAAACATTAAGTGTATAATGTAGTAGTAAATCCAGTTCTTGCCAATCTTGGGATGTTTTTCGCGCAAACAAACATTTAGGGTCAAGGTTGCAATTGGGATCATCATCAACGGAAAATATATTCGCGAAATACAAGGATCCAACCTACAACGTTTTCCTTCTAAGTAAGAGTTAATTACCGAGAACCGAGGCATTTAGTCAAATACAGGCCGAGGCGCGCAGCGCCGAGGCCTGTATTTGACTAAATGCCGAGGTTCGAGGTAATTAACTGACTTATTACATGATTGAGAAGGTTTTCACAAAAGAATAATAACAGCATTTAATGTACGTTTATGAAGACAATGGGTATTGTTGTGTTCAAAGAAGACAAATGATCTTAGGCCCGTTTTAAACGTCGAGCTTTTTATGTACCGAATACATTAAAAACGATAGATAATCTGCTACAGTACCTCATTATCTATTGTTTTTAATGATTTCTGTGCATGAAAAGCTCGACGTTTAAAACGGGCCTTATTTGTTAGCAAAGTTGGAAATAGTTTTGCTTTGAATTTGGGTGTAGTTTGTATTGTTCAAATGCCTAAAATTTTGTATAGTGGTATGTAGATTTAGGATTTTATTGTATGTATGATTAGAAGTGAAATTACGTAGAATTCGCGTAGTGTTATTTGTTTTAGTCGAGTTTAAACAGAATGGCAGATATCGCGAAAGTTTAGCGGGTCTGACGCAGAACACGTTTCTGAAGGCACCTTTAGAGCCTTGTTTCGACCTGTTCAGTGGATTATTGGAGGGCGATTGCAATGTTGGTGATGGTAGTAATAATACCTCGAATAATACAATAACATATTCTGATCATGTTTTAACGGCGGAGAAAGAATTAAATGAAGCCTTAAAATGCCGCTACTCTGAAAATAGGCGAAAAATATCGCTAGTTACAGACAAGGAAGTTTAGTTGATTAAGGAAAGTCGAATTCCAAATAACACGAAACACAACACTAGTTGGTCTGTCGGCGTTTGGCAGGATTGGGCAAAAGGAAGAAACGCGAGAGTAATAGAACTAGGCGTTGTCGACAAGCTAGTCATGTCAGATATTTTAAAAGTGCCTGAAGAAGAACTTAACTATTGGTTAGCTAAGTTTGTGGTCGAGGTTCGCAATTAAGAAAGGTGAAAAGGCAGAATTTTATCCGCCTACGACACTTTATCAGATATGTTGTGGCCTATTACGATTTTTGCGAAATAATGGTCAGGCAGCATTGAATATATTTGATGATCCCATGTTTAAGCATTTTCAGGATACTTTAGATGGTGAAATGAAACGACTTACTAGTCTCGGTGTCGGTTCAAATGTCCGACAAGCGCAAGCATTTTCAGAAGAGCAAGAAGAACTTTTCTGGAAATCAAATCTACTGGGCTCCGACTCACCAGTGACATTACTAAATACAATGGTTTTTTTGATCGGCAAGAATTTTTCGCTTCGGCGCGTCGGAACGGAAAAGAACATCGCTCATTAAAGTTCAGTCAACTTACACTGGAAGCTGCGACTGGGGATGAACCTGAGAAGCTTATTTACACATCTTTTGGAGAAAAGAATAACTTGGGTGGTCTTAAACATCGTGCCATGAAACGGAAGCGTGTGGAGCATTACGCAAACGGATGCGTGTCCTGATCGTTGTATGGTGCATTTATATAAGATGTATGTGGAGAGATGCCCTTCTGAAGCCATAATAAAGGATGTGTTTTACGTTACTCCCAAGCGAAAGTGTCTTGATTCTGATAAAGGTATGTTATGCTACTGATATTTTGAATATCCTTTGCTTGGAATTTAAATTGTTAAATTTTTGTTCCTTTAGTGTGGTTCGCGTTAAACCCAGTTGGCCACAATACGTTGGGCAATACGGTGAAACATTTGTGTGAGAAAGCTGGCATTGAAGGGCATTACACGAATCATAGTCTTAGGGCTACTACTGCAACACGTGGTCTTGAAAAAGGAATTGCGGAGAAATATCTCATGGAGAGAACCGGCCATAGAGATGTGAGATCACTTCAGCGATATCAAAGACCGAACGTCCAACAAAAGATTGAGATTTCAAGAGCGTTTGATTTATCGTTGTCTCATGAGGAAACTAATTTGGACTACGCAGAAGTGTCGAATATCAAAAATGTCATTGATTGTAGTAAGAAAGAAGTAGAAATAGATACTTTAAATACTAAAGACAAGGTAAAACGTTGTAAGAATGAGAAGAGTGAAACAACGCGCTCTGCATTTAATAATTGTACTTTTTTTGTGCAGCAGGACTTTTTAGCTTGAGTTCGTTTTAACGTAGTAAAGTGTGTAGTGTAGTTTGTGTGAGATATTGTGTGATTATAGTGTGATGATAAATGTTTGGTATTTAAAGTAATCTGTAAAGTAATTTGACTTTTGTTATTCTGTTGTTGTATCTAGATACGTTCCTGTTAGTAAGGATGTATCTAGATATATCCTTTCTAGGAGGGATGTATCTAGATACATCCTTAGTAAGAGGGATGTATGTAGATACAACCCTGAAGATAAATTGAATGCAATTCATCAGCCCCGCTCTTCCCTGCTGAATATCAAATCCCTCCCGTGCTTCTAGAGCGTAAACCTAATGAACAGGTAATTATGCTAAATACAGTTTTATGAATAACAATGAAAACCGACTCAATCATGTAATAATGGCAATTAATGACTCAAGAAAATACCCTTTTAAGCTTTACTAAATGCGTGCATGTTTAGTCCAAATTAAACAGTCGTTTTGGCTATTGTTATAGATATTATTTGATTCGTTGAATGGCAAAAACAACCAGTTCTCTTTATACTTTACGAACCAATCGTTGACTTTGTTGAGTTTGCATGTGGTTCATTTGTGCTCATTTTAGTTCAACATTTTAAAATCATCATTCTGCGAACATGTATATAACACAAACAGATTCCTGTTAATGTTGCAGATTTATCGATGTTTGCGAGCTATTTAATAAGGATATCGGCTAGTTCGTTGGTCGTCTTGGTAAGTTTTATAGTCTATATATTCATATATGTATGCAATACAAGTTAATCGTGTACTGCTTAAAACAAGTTAATCTTGTACTGCTGCATGACGCAGGTTGTCTTCAATTATAGTGGCGATGACGATGTGGGCTAAAATTTAATACGGAAAATAATGTCTACTTTTATCGACATTCGCTTGTCAAGGGTAAAACCTTTTTTTTTGGACATCTTATGAATATGCATATTGACTTTTAAATGAGTTGTTTCAAAATTTTATTTGCGAAATTTATAGTTCAGAAAACATTGTCGGTCTTGTTGTGCTCGTCAAATTAGTCGTCTAAACTAGACTGACTAACTATAGTTAGGGCGTTGACCGAGGACACGAAAAGATTCGAGGGCAATCTACGTAAACGCGATATGAGATTAATGCAATACTGGCGTTGGCGTTGTTTCGTCCTCGAGTAATGTGAAGCTTTTTGTCTTTGAGAGCATGAGAAAAAAGTGTATATTCGAAACATCTGTTTGTATTATCCATCGTTCACTTCATGTTTTTAGCTCTAGAAAAAGGATTAAGACTTTGTCTCAGAACAGGGACAAGTTATAATTAACATTACTTTACAACTTTTTGGTCTCTCAGATATGTATTGCACGCATTGCGTATGTACTAGCTGTATTTCCGGGATAAAACGTTTGTGCTCCATTGGGAATTGGCATTGACAAATGCGGTCAGAATGGCAGCTGCTGCAGGCAACATACGGTTACTACAACATTTCGTATCTAAGGCGAATTATGCATGGTCATTTTGTTTAAACAAGCCATATGCATAGGGGCCATTCACAAAATACGTGATGCTCGTCGGGGTGGGGGGTGTTTGATCAGGAGTCATGCCATAGTGCAACAAGGAGGGGGTGGGTATCACAAGCGGTATCACCTGACGGAAAGGCGTATAGGAAAAAAAATTATCCCTGTCTACTATTGTCACAAAATACGCACGTTATGTATCTCAGAATCACGTATTTTATGATATTGGGTATACTGCTATAGTTGTCATGCACAGACACTCTGTCACAAGGGAGTAGGGAGGGGTAAAAAATTGGCAAAAACAGCGTCACGTATTTTATGCATGCATGAATGTGTGTTAAAATATGTTTATATTTTGTGAAATATGCATGCCACATGTCATGATCTCACTCAAAGCTGCATTAATAGGAAAATCAGGGTCATTTTTACTCAAAACAAGAATTTTCTTACTCTAAGAATTTTCTTATTCTTAAGAATTTTCTTATTCTTGCTCAAAGGATATTTTTGCTTATTTCAAGTAAAGTTGTTCTTCAAAAAATTCTTGTCTAGATAAAAATTCTTGCTATACTGACAAGAATAATTTTGCTTGTTCTGAGCAACCTTTTGCTTAATACAAGTAATTGTTTACTTGAAAGAAGAATTCTGCACGTATGAAAATTCTTGTTTTAAACGATTTCTTTCTTAATAAGAATTCTATATAGGTGAGAATAATAATCTTACCAAGATTCTTGGTTAGAATAATATTCTTACTATACAGACAAGAATAATTATGCTTGTTTCAAACAATTTTTTGCTTGAAACAAGTAATTTTTCCTTAAAATAAGAATGAAGATTTTGCTGTGCATGCATTAAGTAAAATTGTACATTCAAAGTGAAAGCTCACTACTCGTCCAGTCTTGATTCTGTGCCATTATAAATTCTCTCGAAATAAATTCTCCTTTTCCGGATGAAAACTAGCTACCAATACTTACGGATATAGGAGCTGTAAATCACATTTCACGACACAAAATTTCGTCATTTGACATTTCACGAGAACGAATATGTAAGAGTTAATTACCGAGAAGGAGGGCTTTATGCTATATACAGCCCCGAGAACGCGAAGCGTTCGAGGGCTTTATATAGCATAAAGCCCGACATTCGAGGTAATTAACTGACTTATTTCATGATTGAAGAGGTTTTCTAACAAAGTTTTATTCTTTTTTTTTCGATTTCGACAAGTATTTTTCTAGTTTTCTCGCTTATTTCTTGACTAATTAGGGCTTTATGGTATTCAAGGGCATTATGCTATATACAGCCCGCGGTACATCAAAGAAAACCGAGTCCAATCATGAAATAATGGCAATTAACGGCTCAATAAAATACCCTTTTAGGCTTTACTTTGCGTGTTTAGTTGAAACAGTCGTTTTGGTTACTGTTATTGATATTATATGATTCGTTGAATGCAAAAACAACCAGTTAACCTTTAATTTATTTTAATTACGAACCAATCGTTGACTTTGTTGAGTTTGCATGCATGGTTCATTAGTGCTCATTTTAAAATCATCATTCCGCGGATATGCAACACAAACAGATTCCTGTTAATGTTGCAGTTTCAGCGATGTTTGCGAATTATTTAATAAGGATATCGGCTAGCTTGTTGGCCATCTTGGTAAGTTTTATAGTCTATATTCATATATGTATGCAATGCAAAAAGTTTAAAACAAGTTAATCTTATCAGTACTGATTGACGACGCAGGTTGTCTTCTATTATAGGCTAGTGGCGATGACGTTTTTGCATTTTGTACTGATAATAAAGTCTACTTTTATTGAGACTCGCTTGTTAAGGGTAAAACCTTTTCTGTTGATATATGGATATGCATGCATATTGACTTTTAAAATGTGTTGTGGAATATCTCGTGTTTCAAAATTTATTTGCCAAATGTATAGCTCTTAGCTCAGAAAACATTGTCGCTTTTGTTGTGGCGGTCAAATTTGTCGTCTACACTAGATTGACTTAGAGTTTGGGCGTTGACCGAGGATACGACAAGGTTCGAGGGCAATCCACGTAAACGACATGAGATTAATGCAATATAGTGGCGTTGGCGTTGCTTGTTTTCGAGAGCAGAAAAACATCTGTTTTTATTATCTATCGTTCACGCCATGTTTTTAGCTCAAAAAGAAGGATGAAGATTTTGTCTCAGAACAGGAATAATTTATAATTAAGGTTTACAACTTTTTGGCCGTTCAATTTATATTGCTTTGCGTATGCACTGCATTTCCGGGATAAAACGTTTGTGCTCCATTGACCGGCAATTGCAAGACATTGACAAATTAAATGCGCTCAAAATGGCAGCTGCTGCGGGCAACATACCGTTACTACAACATCTCGTATCCAAGGCGAATTATGGACACTTTGTGTAAACAAGCCGTAGGACACATATTTGCAAACACGGTCTTGTTTTGTTATAGTAGACAGAGTCAAATTTTCCCTTATATACGCCTCGCCGTCAGGTGATACCGCTTGTGATACCCTCCCCTCCTTGTTGCACTATGTAATTCGTGATCAAACACCCCTCTACCCCCACGAGCGTCACGTATTTTGTAAATGGCCCCTAAGATAATAAATCAATGTTTTTTATCAAAATATATTTGCTGTTCCTCCTGACATCGCCATGGAATACGGCACTCTCGTTGAACGAATCAGCGAGAACCTGTACGAGCGGGAAAGCGTTAAGGCCGATGTTTAATAAGGCATTGAAATAGTGTCGATTTATATAGGTAGATAACGTTTTGAATTTGTTGTTGCATAATAAATTCATGTTTTGTGAGTTTTTTTTGGAGGGAGGGGTGTTTGGCTCAGAGTCGCGTATATTACTGATGGGGTATACTGCTAGCTGTCAAACATTGTCACAAGGGAGTAGAGAGGGGTAAAAATTGGCAAGAACAGCGTCACGTATTTTGTTAATGGTCCCATAGAGATTATAAAATAAATAGAGTATTTAATTAGAGTGGGCATTGGGAAAATAATGCATACTTTTATTGAGACTCGCTTGTCAAGGGTAAAACCTTTTTCTTTTGATATATGGATATGGATATGCATATTGACTTTTAAATGTGTTCTGGAATATACGCAATTTGGCGTTTCAAAATTTTATTTGCCAAATTTTCAGCTCTTAGTTGAGAAAATATTGTCGGTCCTGTTGTGCATGGCCATCAAATGAGTCGTCTAAACTAGACTGACTTATACAGTAGTTAGGGAGTTGATCGAGGATACGACAAGGTTCGAGGGTAATCTACGTAAACGACATGAGATTAATTGCATTAATGGCGTTGGCGTTGCTTCGTCCTCGAGTATTGTGAAGCTTTTTGGGTTTTTTCCTTTCAGAGCAGAAAAAATTAAAGTGTATATTCGAAACATCTGTTTTCATTATCCATCGTTCACGTCATGTTTTTAGCTCAAGTAGAAGGATCAAGATTTTTTCTCAGAACAAGAACAAGTTATAATTAAGGCTTACAACTTTTTGGCCATTCGGGATATATTGCATTGCGTATATATACTGTATTTCTGGGATAAAACGTTTGTGCTCCATTGGCAATTGGCATTGACAAATGCGGTCAGAATGACAGCTGCTGCAGGCAACATACGATTACTACAACATTTCGTATCTAAGGCGAATTATGGACACTTTGTGTAAACAAGCCATAGGGGCCATTCACAAAATACGTGATGATTGTCGAGGTGGGGGTGTTTGATCAGGAGTCATGCCATAGTGCAACAAGGAGGGGGGGGGGGTGAGTATCACAAGTGGTATCACCTGACGGAAAGGCGTATATGGGGAAAATTTATCCCTGTCTACTATTGTCACAAAATACGCGTGTTATGTATCTCAGAATCATGTATTTTATGATGGGGTATACTGCTATAGCTGTCACACGCTGTCAAAAGGGAGTATGGAGGGGTAAAAAATTGGCAAAAACAGCGTCACGTATTTTATGAATGTGTGTTAAAATATATTTATATTTTATGAAATATGCCACATGTCATGATCTCACTCAAAGCTGGATGAATATGAAAATATATCAGGGTCCTTTTTGCTCAAAACAAGAATTTTTACTCTAAAAATTTTCTTATTCTTAAGAATTTTCTTATTCTTGCTCAAAGGATATTTTTGCTTATTTCAAGTAAAGTTGTTCTTCAAAAAATTCTTGTCTAGACAAAAATTCTTGCTATGCTGACAAGAATAATTTCGCTTGTTCTGATCAACTTTTTGCTTAAAACAAGTAATTGTTTTCTTGAAACAAGAATTCTGCACGTATGAAAATTCTTGTTTTAAGCGATTTCTTTCTTAATAAGAATTCTAGGTGAGAATAATAATCTTACCAAGATTCTTGGTTCTTCATGCAATTTTTTGCTCGAAACAAGGAATTTTTTCCTTAAAATAAGAATGAAGATTTTGCTGTGCATTAAGTAAAATTGTACATTCAAAGTGAAAGCATCACTATACTCGTCCAGTCTTGACTCTGTGCCATTATAAATTCTCTCGAAATTAATTATTCTTTTCCGGATGAAAATTAGCTACCAATATACTTACGGCTATAGGAGTTGTAAATCACATTTCACGACACAAAATTTCGCCGGTCATTTGACATTTCACGAGAACGAATATTGGCAATTAACGGCTCAAGAAAATACCCTTTTAGGCTTTACTTTGCGTGTTTAGTCGAAACAGTCGTTTTGGCTATTGTTATTGATATTATATGATTCGTTGAATGGCAAAAACAACCAGTTAACTTTTTATTTTAATTACGAACCAATCGTTGACTTTATTGAGTTTGCATGCCGCTCATTTTAAAATCATCATTCCGCGGATATGTAACACAAACAGATTCCTGTTAATGTTGTAGTTTCAGCGATGCTTGCGAACTATTTAATAAGGATATCGGCTAGCTTGTTGGCCGTCTTGGTAAGTTTTATAGTCTATATTCATATTATGTATGCAATGCAAAGTTTAAAACAAGTTAATCTAGCTTATCAGTACTGATTGAAGACGCAGGTTGTCTTCAATTATAGGCTAGCGGCGATGACGATGTAGAATTTAGTACTCGGATAATAATGCCTACTTTTATTGAGACTCGCTTGTTAAGGGTAAAACCTTTTCTTTTGATATATGGATATGCATGCATATTGACTTTTAAATGTGTTGTGGAATATCTCGTGTTTCAAAATATTATTTGCCAAATGTATAGCTCTTAGTTCAGAAAACATTGTCGGTTTTGTTGTGGCCGTCAAATTTGTCGTCTACACTAGATTGACTTAGAGTTTGGGCGTTGACCGAGGATACGACAAGGTTCGAGGGCAGTCTACGTAAACGACATGAGATTAATGCAATATAGTGGCGTTGGCGTTGCTTGTCTTCGAGAGCAGAAAAACATCTGTTTTTATTATCCATCGTTCACGTCATGTTTTTAGCTCAAGAAGAAGGGTGAAGATTTTGTCTCAGAACAGGAACAATTTATAATTAAGGTTTACAACTTTTTGGCCGTTCAATTTATATTGCATTGCGTATGCACTGTATTTCCGGAATAAAACGTTTGTACTCCATTGACCGGCAATTGCATGACATTGACAAATTAAATGCGCTCAGAATGGCAGCTGCTGCAGGCAACATACCGTTACTATACAACATCTCGTATCCAAGGCGAATTATGGACAATTTGTGTAAACAAGCCATAGGACACATATTTGCAAGCACGGTCTTATTTTGTTATAGTATACAGGGTCAAGTTTTCCCCTATATACGCCTCGCCGTCAGGTGATACCGCTTGTGATATACCCTCCCTTCCTTGTTGCACTATGCGAATCGTGATCAAAACACCCCTCTACCCCCATACCCCCACGAGCGTCAGGTATTTTGTGAATGGCCCCTAAGATGACAAATCAATGTTTTCTATTAAAATATATTGCTGTTCCTCCTGACATCGCCATAGAATACGGCACTCTCGTTGATTCAACGAACCAGCGAGAACCTGAGCGGGAAAGAGTTAAGGCCAAGGTTTAACAAGGCATTGAAATAATGTCGATTTATATGTAGATAACGTTCTGTATTTGTTGTTGCATAATAAATTTCTGTTTTATGAGTTTGTTTTTTTTTGGGGGGGGAGGGGTGTTTGGCTCAGAGTCGCTATATTACTGATGGGGTATACTACTAGCTGTCAAGCATTGTCACAAGGGAGTAAGTAGAATATTTAATTAGAGTGGGCATTGGGAAAATAATGCATACTTTCATTGAGACTCGCTTGTCAAGGGTAAAACATTTATCTTTTGATATATGGATATGGATATAGCATATTGACTTTAAATGCGTTGTGGAATATACGCAATCTGGCGTTTCAAAATTTTATTTGCCAAATTTTTAGTTCTTAGTTGAGAAATATGGCCATCAAATTAGTCGTCTAAACTAGACTGACTTATACAGTAGTTAGGGAGTTGATCGAGGATACGACAAGGTTCGAGGGCAATCTACGTAAACGACATGAGATTAATGGCGTTGGCGTTGCTTCGTCTTTGAGTATTGTGAAGCTTTTTGAGTTTTTGCCTTTGAGAGCAGAAAAAATTAAAGTGTATATTCGAAACATCTGTTTTTATTATCCATCGTTCACGTCATGTTTTTAGCTCAAGAAGAAGGATCAAGATTTTTTCTCAGAACAAGAACAAGAACAAGTTATAATTAAGGCTCACAACTTTTGGCCATTCGGGATATATTGCATTGCGTATATATATACTGTATTTCCGGAATAAAACGTTTGTGCTCCATTGGCAATTGGCATTGACAAATTCGGTCAGAATGACAGCTGCTGCAGCTAGCAACATACGGCTACTACAACATTTCGTATCTAAGGTTAATTATGGACACTTTGTGTAAACAAGCCATAGTTGCCATTCACAAAATACGTGACGCTCGTGCGGGTAGGGGAGTCACATGCATAGTGCAACAAGGAGGGGAGGGTACCACAAGCGGTATGACCTGACGCAAAGGCGTACATATAAGGGAAAATGTGTCCATGTCCACTATAAAAAAAGAAGACCGTGCTTGCAAATATGTGCCCTTAGATGAAAAATCAATGTTTTCTATCAAAATATATTGCTGTTCCTCCTGCATGACATCGCCATGCATGGAATACGGCACTCCCATTGATTCAACGAACCAGCGAGAACCTGAGCGGGAAACTGTTTAGGCCGAGGGTAAATAAGGCATTGAAATAGTGTCGATTTATAGATAATGTTTTGAATTTGTTGTTGCATATTAAATTTCTGTTTTGTGAGTTGTTTTTTTTTTGTTGTTGTCTTTTTTTTTTGGGGGGGGGGGGGGTTCCGGGGAGAGGGGTTTGACTCATGCAGAATTACATATTTTACTGATAGGGTATATCAAAGTAAAACAGAACTGTCCCGAAGGAGTGAGACATGCAAAATATCATCCAAACCAAATCGCTGCCTAAAGAAAAATGTGGTATATAATATTATATGTTCAGCATGTGGAACCGTATATACATTGGGGAAACGGGACGATCGCGAACAATAGGATCAAGAGTAAAAGAGCACCTAATCATGGAGAAACAGACCGGTATATAAACACTTAGCATCCCATAATAAATGCAAATTACGGCAAACAGCCTGGAGCATTTTACACGCAAAATTAGTAACCACGAGAAACGAAAGTATATCGAGGCGTTAGAAACACAAAAACATTCAGGACACTTAATGAGCGCTGTAGTGGGAGGACAATTAGCATATATATATTTTAACTAGCTTTCCGTATTGTTTATAGTATTCTTAATACACTGGCCGGACTTTTAAATTTAGCATTTTCTCTAGTATAATACATACATTTTTAGCATTTTAATGAGATAAACACTTATATATATGTATATATAAGACGGATATATTACTGTAAATCATCTCCACTGAATAAGCCGTAACAGGCGGAACGTATGGAGGGTAAATATTTTTATAAATTTATGTCTGAAGAAGCATGCACTACAACAAAAGTTATATATATATATATATATATATATATATATATATATATATATATATATATATATATATATATATATATATATATATATATATATATATATATATATATGAAAATGTTCTAAAGTGTGTATTATATAATTTCCATACCCAGCGCAAGCAGAAAGATGTTGTCTGCCGCGGCTGGGTCTTGAACCCGCGACCTTCGAATTACTAGATCGGCGCTCTACCAACTGAGCTACACGGTCAGACGGATTTAAGACTGGAAATTATGAAATATATAATGAATGTCATAAACATATATTTCATAATTTCCAAATTGACCGTGTAGCTCAGTTGGTAGAGCGCCGATCTAGTAATTCGAA